ATTAAATTGTATGCCAGAAGTCACTTTAATTTGTTATTGTTGTAAATAATATTTTAGCTGATGACTACCACTGACTGCTCTCACATCTTATTAAGCGATATATATCCAAAAGTAAATCACTACCTGAACTCCATTTGATGTGGCAGATCCAAACACATTAACAGAAAGCCAGGGAAAGTCTTCCAGTTAGAGCTTTACAGTTTTGGTATTAAGATCAGAGCTAATAACTGGTGCAGGCCTAACTGTTAAATTCTGTATGTATCTATTATACTTTAGAAGAAAAACAGCTAAGAAACGATTAGAATCAGTAAAGTAGAACTGAAACAATCTTATGAGACTCCACACCATTACCAAGGAGGAAATCTAAAAAGTCTTAGATCAAGAATCAAAATCAGAAACAGATATCCTAATGCTCAGTCCTTTAAATGGTATCTAGCCACCTCATAGCTTGAAATATATGTTATATCATATGTAAACTAGAAAAGTGGTAAAGATACTTGGGGTGGTAAAATATCCTGCCATCTCCCAAGGACACTCTTTTAAAATATGGTATTGAGCACATATGAATAATAAAAGAAAAATGAAAAAAAAAAAAAAAAAGAAAAAGGAACTATTGTAAGACAAAAGGTAAAATCAAGTTGGTCCTTGGGTAGGCCCTTTTCCATTTGGGCTGTCTGTATATACTCAAGTTGAGGGGACAGTTCCCAAGACACTGTAATGCACCTCAAGAGCATTAAATAAATCTGTCTTGTCTCTGACATAACTCACAGGCATCAGTGAACATGGTAAACAGGGAAAAGAAGAGCCCAAAGGATGCTGAGGAAAGAACTCTTTTCAGGTCCTGGGACCTTCAATAGGTCTCTCGGGCATCATCTGGCCTGATCTGCCTCACTTTGTGATTTTAGTTCAAATGTCATCTCCTCAGAAGGCCTCACCTGATGGAAAGCAGCCCCTTTTCACAACACAACTTTCTGTAATATTATGCTGCCTGCTTGTCTTCCTAGCATGTACCACTGTTAGAAATTATATTTTTTACTTATTTGTACTCTAGCTACTTGTTTGTTTCCCCTGACTAGAACCAGAACTTCCTGAGAGCTGGGAATGTGTCAGTTTTGTTCTCTGCTTTATTCTTAAGGCCTTGCCTGGGATAGTAAGAACTCAATAAATATTTGTAGCATAAACAAAAAAAAAAATAAGATAAAATATGGTATTGAACTAACTAACAGGAAAAACAGTGAGGGAAGGAGGAAAGGACTAAATGTTTTCATTTGTAGAAAACTGTCAATTACAGAAACCTATGAATTATATTATTATACTTTCATCTCAACTCTTCTCATATAAATTTATGACAACAGAAGATGCTTTGAACCATTTCGATTTCCTCCTACTCTGAAAAAGGTATTAAGAGACGAAACTGGAATTGACAGGGTCATTAAAACTTGACAATTTTTAATAGTCTTCCTCTAATCTGACAGTTCAGATCATTTCTTGTTTCACTACAGTCACAAAAAGCTTCAACTACAAAGTCAGACTGTTGTATCCTTAAAACCATGGTTGACTTCTAAATTTACTGTAATTGAAATTCTCCTAGTAATTTCTGCTCAATTTAAAAAGCACAGCATAATTATAACTCTGGCACAGGCTCTATTGATTGAGGAATTGTTAGAAATAAATGAGGAAATACATGTGAAAGTATTTTGCCAATGTGAAATTATTATAATATATGGAAGGTACTGTATTTTTTAAAAAGGTCTATAATTGTGCTGTTGATGTGATAAAGATACACTATTCTTAATGGTAAATCATTAAATGCATTTCCTTTAAACTATAAATACAAGGATTTCCACTCTCATTGATTGCTTCATTTTAACACTACACTGAAACTTGTGGTCAGTGCAATAAGACAAGAAAAAGACTAAGAATTGGTAAAGAAAAAGCAACTATCCTTATTTACAGATAATATGACAAAGTGGCTAACGTAAGACCAAGATATCATTAGTGTTTATTTGGTTCTGTTCAGGGTACTTAGAAAGGAAACTCAAAGGCATATTGATGAATGTGAGGCATCATGCTAGATATTACTCTATGAATAAAAATGTTAGAGAAGGTATATGACATTCAGTGGCCTTTAATTTACACATAAATAACTTACTGGCCTGCAGGATGAGAATCATAAAATGAAAAGACTGTGGTTCAGACTGGATTAAAAAAGCAAAGGGAAGTAGCTAGAGAATCTTGAGAGGAATATTTTGTCCTATATTAGTTATAATTATGCAATACTATTTTTGAGTTATACCAACAACTAAATTTTCCTCTCATGAGCACCAGACTGCTAAGTAAGAACAGATCAAGAGTAGAAGGCATGGGATCAATCAAAAACCAAGTGCTCTACACAATAGGTCCCCAGCAAATGCTGATAAATACATCACCTACGTTATCAGAAATTACTGTAAAACTTACATATATATATATATAAAGCCTTAACAACTTTTATTTACTATCCTGAATTCGCTTTTCTTTCTTTTCTACATATTCTTAAATTTTAGTGCAATTTAAGCTACTTGCCAATATTGAAGTAACTTAGATCTATATTTTATAATGTTCTTCACTCAGAAAGAACTTCTAAAATGGCTAAGTGAAGTGTGTGAATGTACTATTTTCTAATGAATTCAAGGTCGATTATCTGTTAACACCAAAGCAAAGGATACCAACTATGTAAAGGTGCTAATCATTTAACTTTCATCTTTGAGTTTAGTAGCATTTCAGACAGTTCAACTCTAAAAATTATGTAATAATGTATGTACTATTCTTATTAAAATGGAACCAAATAATAAGAGGCTATAAAAACACAGAACCATCTTTTTTAATCATACAAAAAAAATAGTATTGATCAAAGAAAAATTAAGAGTCACTGATTAGCTGAACATATACTAAATGCTAGGGGAGAAAATGCTGTTACAAATGCCAAAAGCCAAATCCTTCTTAATAAACTTAGGAACTATGTAACTATAACTCATATACTTTATAACACACTCTCTCTCTCTCTCTCTCTCTATATATATATATATATATAAATATATATAAACATAAACCAAAGTTAATTAGCCTGTAGAATTCCAAAAACAGGCACCAGTGGCTTACGTCTAATCCTAACTACTCAGGAGGCAGCAATCAAGAGGACTGTGGTTCAAAGCCAGCCTGTCCAAATAGTTTGCAAGACCCTTTCTCAAAAATACCCATCACAAAAAGGGCTGGTGGGGTGGCTCAAGATGAAGGCCCTGAGTTCAAGCCCCAGTACCACAAAAAAAAAAAAAAGAAAAGAAAAAAATTTTAGTAATATGGTGTCCAATAGTTTGATTTTTTTCCCTTCCTTTCTTCCTTCCTTCCTTCCTTCCTTCTTCCCATCCTTCCTTCCTTCCCTCCCTCCTTCCCTTCCTCTCTCTTTCCTTCAATCCCTCCCTCCCTCTTTTCTTTTTTCTGGGGGTTGAACTCAGAGTCTCCCACACTTGTTAGGCAAGCACTCTACCACTTGAGCAACATTACCAGTTCTTTTGCTTTTCTAGTTTGCTTTTTAGACAGGGCCTTGAACTTTTCCCTGGGCTGGACTCAGACTACGATACTCCTATCTCTGCTCCTGAGAAACTGGAGCACAGGCATGCACTACCATGTCTGGATTCTTAGCTTTTTTCCATGAAATAGGTTCTCATAACTTTTGAACCATGATTCTCTTATTTCTGCTTCCTGAATAACTGGGATTACAGGTGTGCACAACCATACTTGCCTTAGTATTTTTTAAATGACAAGATGTATCATCTTCCACAGACTGGTATACGCTCAGATTTTCAGTTATTTATGAGTTTCTAGGTCTAAATAATATCATTACAAATAGTTTTTCTTTTTTACAGTGCTGAAGATCATATCCAAGCCTTGTGCATGCTAAACAAAGCACTCTACCATTGAGCTACCTCTCCAGCATCCCCAAAATAGATTTCTGATCATTGTATATCTATAATACTCTGAAACCATTAAACAAAAAAAATGAGAGAGAAAGAAGATAAAAAATATAGAGGAGTGGGAAGAGGACAAAACCACCAATGTACATGAAGGCTTTCAATGAACATGGTGCCATTTGCAAAATTAATCAACTGTACTTGGCTAGCGTATGTAGGCAAGTGCTTGTGAGTGGGATTTTCTTTCTTTCTTTTTTTTTTTTTTGACAGTAAATATAAAATGAAATACCTACTGGCAAATCTTTGCTGCTCTTTAAAATGGTTAAATTTGATTATCCAAGGACTGATTATGTAGCTTACAAATAGCCATGCTGTTTCCTTTTCTCCACATTCTGCTCTGGTTTTTGTGTAATTTACTATTTATTAACACACTGTGAAAACACTTTGAATACATCTACCATACTTTGTTCCTGCATTTCTGTTTTAACCTTGAGAAATTAATAACTTGTTGGCTATTTTCCACTGACAAAGACAGAATCTTTGGTCTCTAAGCACAGCACATTCACTGCAAATCAGGAAGCAGTTTTTTTCTAGGCCTGCTAAAAATGAGGGAGAAGAAAGGTTCAAATTGAGATGTAAGAACTGCACAAAGATGTATACTGTGACATATCTGAGTATATCAATAAACCTGCCAGTATTCAACAACAGGGCCTACACTGATTCTCACATCTGCCTATTGTTAAAAAAGTGAGACAATTGCCACATATCTTGTCAAAAGAGTAGTCATCTGGGACTCAGACATTATAACATGTCTGCGAGGACCTTCTGTTCTTTTCCTGTTAGGAGAGGCAAAGTGAGGCTGGAACAAGCAGCAAAAAAGGTCACCATCCAGGCTCAGTATTGAGGATCTGGTAGTTTACCAGATCTGGTATAAAGCAGAGAATATAGTATAATGCAAATAAGACATGAATATAGAAAGAAAATCTGAAAAAAATCTTTAAATTGGGCTCCTATAAAATAAGTTAGAAAAAGTAAAGGTGAGAACACTACCTTGCAGATTTTGTAGAGCGATTCCTGACCATCTCCTCCAGTATCTTTGAAGTAATCATGTGCAGGAAATGTACGATGAATATCTCGAGTAATAACACTCTCCTGGGCTGAGTCCTAAAAAGAAAAAAGAAGCAGACTTAATTAATTATTGTAAACCTTCTTTCAATTATGAAAAAATAACACAAACATGGCAAAAATTCAAATAGCACAAAAAATTGTGCCTAAAAACCCTTCCTTTTACCCCAGACCCACGATCCTCTATTCCCCAGAGAGAAGTGCTATCTTCTTTTACATCCTTATATAAAAGTGATATGCATATGTATACCTACAGATGTATGTGCATGTATACATGTTTACATGGCAGGGCAGAGAGGGAGAAAATTTGTATATACACGTTGCACAGAAGCAAACTATCTGTTCCTTTCATTTAACAGGATAAGTTACAGAATGTTCCTTATTAAGACATGCAAGTGTATTTTATTCCTTTTAGAAGCTGTTATTAAAAAGAATGAGGTACATCTGAATATAGATTTATCAAAACTTATTTAATAGTATCATATTAATGACCATTTATTTGCATTTTTCTACTTATAAGCAATATTATAAGAAACATTTTTATACATATATCTTGCATGTGTTCAAGGAGAAATTCCTAGAGGTAGAACTGCTAAGTCTATATGTATTTTCAGGGTATATGCATTTTCAGTAGTGACAGAGAACACGTTTATTCACCTCTGCCCAATATCACATATTTTCTAATTTTTTAAATCTTTAACAATCTGATATATGAAAACTTGGTCCAAACTCATTTAAGAGTAAAAACACTATCAATCTTCTCTCCCATCCTCATGCTGGGCTAATTACCCAACTATTCACTTCACAAAACAAAAGCCTACAAGCTACTGTGTTTTAATGACATATGCTTTAAGCATAAACTTAAAGAGATCTTTTTTCTTTCTGTCTGTCTTTTTGAACTCAAGGCCTGGTGCTTGCTAGACAGGTAGCTACCACTTGAGCCACAACTTAAGAGATTTTTAAAGAAAGATTTTGGAACCAAAAACTCAAAAATGAGTAAAATTCCAAGCCTTATTAAAAAGTATTAATTATTAATTTGATTTCATTTTACTCCTGGGAATGTTTGTGTTCTGTGTATTTAAATGTCAAGAAAATAGGATAGGACTAATCTGAGCATTCCTGATGATGAAAATACCTTGCACAATTCAAAGAAGTATCACAGACTACTAATTGCAAATTACAATTATTATTTAATGGCTTGCTTCCACAAAAACAAAATAAATCACCTCTTTCAGTATAAAATCAGGAAAGAAAAAAATGTTTGAAATATGATTTACTTTAATGAATGCTGCTTCCCTCTCTTTGTAGCTGAGAAGTACACAAAAAGCAGGCTTGTGATTAACTCTTAGTTAAGCTGGTACCTTCTCTAGCTGCTTTTCATTTCAGCTGCTACTTCATGCTGGGTGGTAATTAGATCCTATGTCATGTACAGGAAGAGAAGAAGAAAACTGAAAAGTTCCAAATTTGCTAGCAAACACTGAACATGTGATAAATCCGTGTAGACGAAATTCTGATGGCTTACAGGAATGGAATACAAAAGCCAAATAAAAATGGAACGTTAAAAAAATTTTTAAATAGCTTAAATAAAAGGATAGATACATAGACATTTTGTATTTGTCTAGGTAAATGTGCTTTGATAAAGAAAATTTTAAGGTGAGGAGCCTAGAACAAGATATGTATAAAGATAATTCATAAAATATATACTACAGGGCTGTTACACTATGGGGTGTACCTTAGTATTTGAGTGCGTTTAGCACCAGTGATCCTGGGTTCAATCTCCTGGTCTACAAAAATAAAAACACCCCCCCCCCGAAAAAAATCCTACACTATGTTTGTTTTATTGGTCAAGTCTAAATATGAAAATCTGGTAACCAGACAGACCTAAGTTTTCACTGTCCAGGTTTGTTCCAGTAGAGGGATTCTCTCACCATGCAGTGATGGTATCCACTTACAAACTACTTGAAAAGATGACCAGTAAAGTATTACTACTGCCATGGTGAGCTATCTCAGGGAGAAACACCTGTGCTGTGGCCACAGAATAACCCTTTTGCACTTTGCAGGATGTTAAGAGTGAGTGAACACTAGATATATATGCCCAAGAAACAGCTTCACATGGAACATCAAGCTGTGTTTAAATGGCACCATAGTCTGATTCAGAAAAAGAGAACTGGGGCAAAAATTTCTAAAAAGTAAATTTGCATAACACTGGGTATAATTTTTTCTATGTATACATGATCTTCCTTGTTTAAAGAAATAAAGGAACCAAATCAAAGGAAAATAAAATCACTAACTTTTCCTTTCTGAGGATATTTTTTAAAAAGTTTCTCCAAAATAGGGCCTCAAATAGACTGCTCTATTGCTAACTATGTATATAACTTTAAATGACACAATAAGTGTACATATTCATATGTGCTATGGTTTGGATGTGATTTGAGTGTATCCCCTGTTTATGTGTTGGAAGCTTGGTCCTCAGTGTGGTGATATTGGGAGGTGGTGAAATCATTAAGAAGTGAGTCCTACGCTACTTAAAAAGCTGGACATCGATCTACCATTTGATCCAGCAATACCACTCTTGGGGATATACCCAAAAGACTGTTACTCCAGAGGCACCTGCACATCCATGTTTATTGCGGCACTATTCACAATAGCCAAGTTATGGAAACAGCCAAGATGCCCCACCACTGACGAATGGATTAAGAAAATGTGGTATCTATACACAATGGAATTTTATGCAGCCATGAAGAAGAACGAAATGTTATCATTCACTGGTAAATGGATGGAATTGGAGAACATCATTCTGAGTGAGGTTAGCCTGGCTCAAAAGACCAAAAATCGCATGTTCTCCCTCATATGTGGACATTAGATCAAGGGCAAACACAACAAGGGGATTGGACTATGAGCACATGATAAAAGCGAGAGCACACAAGGGAGGGGTGAGGATAGGTAAGACACCTAAAAAACTAGCTAGCATTTGTTGCCCTTAATGCAGAGAAACTAAAGCAGATACCTTAAAGCAACTGAGGCCAATAGGAAAAGGGGAACAGGTACTAGAGGAAAAGGTTAGATCAAAAAGAATTAACCTAGAAGGTAACACCCACGCACAGGAAATCAATGTGAGTCAATGCCCTGTATAGCTATCCTTATCTCAACCAGCAAAACCCCTTGTTCCTTCCTATTATTGCTTATACTCTCTCTACAACAAAATTAGAGATAAGGGCAAAATAGTTTCTGCTGGGTATTGACGGGGGGAGCGGGAGGGGGTGGAGTGGGTGGTAAGGGAGGGGGTGGGGGCAGGGGGGAGAAATGAACCAAGCCTTGTATGCACATATGAATAAAAAAAGAAAAAGGAAAAAAAAAAAAAAAGAAGTGAGTCCTAGAAGTCATTGGAAGGCACTGCTGTTGAAAAGAATTAATGTAGTGTTTGTGGGTTCCTGGTATGTCTTGTGAGAGGGTTGTTATAGAAAAGCAATATTGGCTCCTCCCACTCTCTGCCTTCCAATCTTGTTCATAATCTCTCTCTCTTGCATGTTCCCAACACTGTGAGTCCTCACCACAGTCAAGAATTGTGAGCTAAATAAAGCTCCTTTCTGCAGAAATTACACAGTCTTGAGTATTTTGTTATAGCAACAAAGAACAGACTAAGACAATATGTAATGATAAGATCAGGGAAACTGACATATCATCTCAGACATTTATCACTTCTTTGCATTGAGAAACTTCAAAATCTTCTCTATTGGTTATTTTGAAATATATAATTAACTACTGTCAGCTACAGTTACCCTACTGTCCTACAGAATATTAAAAGGTATTCCTCCTATCCAATATATCCCTGTGCCAATTAAGCATTTTCTCTTGATTTCCCCCACCTCTCACCCTTCCCAACTTCTGGTAATAGTTACTTCTGGTAACTATTACTCTACTCTCTACTTCTTTGAGATCCACTTTATAATTTTTACATATAAATGAGAACATGTGGTATTTATCCTTCTGTGCCTGACTTATTTCATTCACATAATATCCTCTAGGCTCACCCACACTGCCTCAAATAACAAGATTTTATTTTTGCTCATCAAATAATATTCCATGTGTATGTATCACAACATCCTTATCCAGTCATTCATTGACGGGTAACTTACTGAATCACATGACAGTTCTATTTCTAGTTTCTGAGGACTCTCCATGCTATTTTTAATAATGGCTGTCTTAAATTACATTCCCACCACTAATGTATATTGCTAGGATTCCAAAGATCAAAAGAAAAGAAACAAGCTGGGTACCAGTGGCTCATAACTGTAGTCCTAGTTACTCAGGAGGCAGAGATCAGGAGGATCGAGGTTCAAAGCCAGCCCAGGCAAATAGTTCACAAAATACTTATCTCAAAAATACCCAACACATAAAAGGGCTGGCACAGTGGCTCAGGTGGTAGAGCACCTGCCTAGCTAGTGTGAGGTCCTTAGTTCAAACCCCAGTACCACCAAAAAAGAAAAAAGTCCAATATGGTATGGCTTTGCAATCAGACAAACTCATTGATCCTATTTCTACTTTTCTCATCTAATCTCAGACAAGTTATTTATTCTTGCTAAACATTAGTTGCCTCATCTGAAAAATGGGATAATATCAAATGCATAATTTTATTTAGAATAAAATAATGTATGAAAAGGATTTAGCACTTTGCCTATTATAAATTGAGTACTCATTATTTAAGCATTTAAACTTTTTGGTGAATATACATTTCAGATATTTTTTAGTACCTATATACTTTCAATAATAATTGTTTTTCTTATGGTATTACAAACATGAAACCAATTCTAAAATCTACAGAATGATGATATATTAATACATACACACTTTGTTCTTAATTACCTATTATGGGACCTATATGTCCTAAATGAATCTTGTTTCTATTAATCTATTAATAAAAGGAAAAGTGAGCAACTATTTACAAAAAATACTGTTTTTATCAACTGATGTACTCTGACCCTAACTTTTCATATAACCCACATTATAGAGAAAGATCGATCTACATAAATATATACAGA